GCATGACTAGCTGCCTTTCCATTCCCATCACCAGACTTGCTAGTCCTTGAGGAAAGGTGGGGGGCTTGTCTTTTGTTTAAATGCCTCCCCACCCCCTCCTCCAATCCAAGTAAAAATTTGGGCTTCTCAAGTGCCCCAGAAAACACATACTTAGTATTTTCTGTCAGCTAACTAAAAACTAATTCTACACTGAGTAGTAGCCAACAGCTAACTTCAGGCAGATACTGATTTCATTGCAAGTTACCTTTTTTTCCCTAGTTTTTGCTTTTATCCACAAGAACGTACAAGGCTACTATAAAGTGAAAATGAAGGTCTGCAATAACTTAGTAGTTCAACTTGCTTAACTCCATTAATACTAATTATTACTTAAACTTTATTTAATGCATTGAGCAGGCCCTTTGAAGAATTAAAAAGGCGTTCATTTTGCAACATCAATGGCTGCATAATTTTAGATGTGAAATCCAGTCTCCATAGCAAAGTGACAGAGTCTGAGAGAAGAGGGAATAAACAGATTATAAATAAACTTAACCATTCTCTAGCTGTGAGAAAGCATTATCTTGTTCTGCAAAATTCTGGTGATTATTATTCTGTAAATTAAATATTTATGCCCAAATTATAAGTAAGTGTATTTTCATGCCAACTACAGAATCAATGTAAATACAGTTGTCCTGGGTTTAGCTGTAGCAGTTCTTTTTCTCCTTCGTAGTAGCTGGTGCAGTGCCGCATTTTGGCTTTAGTCTGAGAACATCCTCTGCCACTGAGGGGCATGGGAAGCCAGGAGGGAGCAGAGACAGGACACCTGACCCAAACTGGCCACAGAGGTATTCCATACCACAGCACATCATCCCAGTATATAAACCAGGGGGAGTCACCCGAAAGTCCCAGATGACTGCTTGGGTTGGGCTGGGTATTGGTTGGCAAGTGGTGAGCAATTGTATTGTGCAGCACTTGTGTTTATTGGTGGCTTTTTTTCCTCTCCATTTTTAGTTTTATATTCTCTCCCCTTGTCATCATTATTAGTAGTAGTAGCTTTGTATTACACCTTTGTTACTGGACTGTTCTTATCTCAACCTGTGGGAGTTACATTCTTTCAATTCTCCTCCTCATCTCACCCAGAGGGGGGAAGAGGGGAGTGAGAGAACAGCTGCGTGGTGCTGAGTTACCAACCGGGCTTAAGCCACACCACAGGTTTATCTGCTAACCAGAGAATAAGATTGATTACAAAGGTGCCAAGGTTCTATTATTCACTTCCCTTTAGTTTACAAAAGGGAGTTGAAAATCCTGCTCAACTGTCTTCCTGCTGTGATCCAAAACCCAAGCAGACTGAAAGAAGCTTTTTGTACACCTCCTTAATGGGCATCCAAGGGAAAAGGCGATTTTACCCTTATTAAATAGGCTAAGAATATAATTTAAAATGAAATGGAGAATGTCAGGAAAACCAATCATCCTTTTTACAAATAACTTTTGAAAATATGAATAGTGGAAGAACAGATTTTTGATCAAAGCTTCCCATACTATTTTGTTTGTAGAGCATATTATAATTTATAATTAATACATTATGCTTGATATTTCAAAATATACTGAAATTTATTATTGCAATCTCTATTCAAAAGAAATGAATTGGTTAAATGAATTAACCAAGATTTTGGTATTAGACACAAGGGAATAAATTTGGTAACATTCTGTGAACTGAAAAAGGAACCAGAGAAATAAGTTAGTGTAAAGACAAAGATTTATTCCTGTAGGACTTTCCAAAGGAATTCCAAAAAGTTAGAAAATACTTTACTATAAAACAATAGATGCTAACTTTTCAAAGCAGTGTAACTCACATCTCCAACGACTGTGAAGGTAACGCCTCCCAGTATTAACAAGGTTTTTATTTCTGGAAGATGAAAGCAGGCAAGCAAATTGCTTCTCTATTTTTTTCCCATGGATCCTGAAAAAGACTGCTTTCTCTCTTGTTTTTGTACAAGACATGCAAAACACTTTATAGCCCTCTTCCCAAGGCAATTTTCACAGCTTAATCCACATGGGTAGAACAGCTGTAAAATGGTAGCAGCAGAATACTTAAGACAATTAGTCAACACCTTCCAACTGTTACCAGGATTATAGAAATTGCCATAATATGTGATTATTGAAAACAAAATTTTATAATTCACAAGAAACAAACAAAAAGCGTGTTTTTCCAAAACAGCACTATGTGTGCACATCAGGAGCATAAAAAAGTGTAGATTTGTTGTGCTGCCGTTTGTCCAACTACTCGCTCAAGCTCTTCAACAGATGCATTGCAAAGCCGGTGGATGTTTCCAAACTGTTGCAGTAAAAGTAGAGCTTTTGTTTTCCCAACTCCTGGAATTTGTTGCACCGTCCGAAACAGCGATGGCTCTGCCAGCCGAGAACATTGTTTACGGAGAAAGGGGTTACTGTTGTGATCCTTACTTTGTTCACGGACCTGAAGCAAAACAAACCCAAAGGCGACACTAAGTGCCCTCTGCTGGGGCGCTGCTTTTATGGTTTAAAATAGTTCCTTTCATCTCATAGGAGTTCAGTGCAATCACTGGGAAGTTTTAACAAGCTCCCTCCTTAAGTGTGTGCCCTTATTAAGGGCTTTGACGCAGAGCCACAACGTCTCACTGGGAAGCCAAGTTTTTTAATATCAACCATGAATTAAAACAATGAATTTGTCATCCTTTTGATGCAATCAGTGAAAGGATAAAGAAAAAGAGAAACAACTAAGTACGCAGGTTCCCCAGCATGAGACAAGGCAAAATCTCAAGTTGGTTTTG